TAGGGGGTGTGCAGGAGGCAGCTGGTTGGTGTTTCTCTCTCATTGATGTTTCTAGCTCTCTCTCCCCCTCCCTTCCTCTCTGTAAAAAACAATCAAATAATATACATATATATATATGTATATTAAAGTTGTCAGTATATAATATATCCCTCCATTCTTTGCATAAATATAAACTTTTCTTCATATTCTTATGGAAGTTTTATTCTATGTTGATAGCAGACCCTGAAAGTTGTCATAGGTCTTCCACTGTAAGAACCTCATGCATAGGGTCTTGGGAGAAGCTGATGCTTGCCTGGGACCCATCAGTCTGATTTAGGGTTAGTGTATGTGTATGGGGAGGGTTAGGGGAGGAGAGAGGGTGTACTAACCTTTCTGCTTCTCTCTTTTGACCTTCCAAATGGGGCTGCACCTTGGGGCCTGATTTTTTTATTCATTTTTAATTTGGGAGAGGAGTGAGGGAGAGGGAAAGAAATATCAATTTGTTGTTCCTCTTATTTATGCAGTCAATGGTTGATTTTTGTATGTGTCCTGATAGGGGATCAACCCTGCAACCTCTAACCAACTGAGCTACACAGCCAGGAACAGGTTTGAACTTTATTTATTTATTTATTTATTTACTTATTTATTTTTAAATATATTTTTATTGATTTTTTTTACAGAAAGGAGGGGAGAGGGAGAGAGAGCTAGAAACATCGATCAGCTGCCTCCTGCACATTACCTACTGGGGATGTGCCCACAACCAAGGTATATGCTCTTGACCGAAATTGAACCTGGGACCCTTGAGTCCACAGGCCAACGCTCTATCCAATGAGCCAAACCGACTAGGGCAAGTTTGTTTATTTTTAAAGTGACTTTATTTTGGCAGACAGAATGACTTCATTAATTTGGTTGTACTTATGCACACATGAGCATGTGTGTATATGTGTATCCATCACTTGTAATTGTTTGACTCTCTAAATACAGGGTTAGGCAGAAGTAGATTTACAGATATTCATATGGAAAATAATACAACAATTAGTAAAAATAATACAAGAATAAACTGTTTCACATACTCACAACTGTAAACCTATGTTTGTCCCACCCTGTATGTTTCTTGCATGTATGTGTGGATGTATCATTTACACATGTCTACAAGAAAGAATCTGTGTGCAGAATGTTTCTGCACATGTGTCTTCTCACATGTCTGTGAGTCTGTGTATGTGTTTCAGAAGTGTGTGTTTCTAAGTATGCACTTGTGTATGTCTCTTAAATTCGAACATGAGTCTAGGTGTATGTTTGTTCCATGTCCCTGTTGTGTCCATGTGTGTTCTGGTGAGCCTCTGAGTATTTGACGTGCGTGTGTGAATATGGATATGTCCTCTCTGTGTGTCTGGGTATATTCGAGCAGACTCTGCATATGGATACTAGTAGTCCTTTTCCCACTTAGGTCCCCTCAGCTCCCAGGCAGTTTAATCTCATTCTTCCTCCTGTGGCTGTTTCCATTGCTTCTGTCCCCTCTCCAAATGTTGAAATTAAGCAAAGGCAGCAATTAAGTGGAGTTCCCCAGACAACCATCCTACCAGGATTCCCTTCTGGGAGCTAAATGAGCACATGCACACCCAGGCATAATACTATCCAGGCACGGCAGAGCCCCGAGGCTGCATATGCTCTGGCATGAAGGCACCACTGAGCTGCACACAAAGCATAGGAGGGTTCTTTGTCCACTTGCTTGATTTGTACCATCCTTCAGGTTTCAGCATGAAGGTCCCCTCCTGCAGGAAGCAACGTTAACTCCCTAGAGCCTGCTTCTGGGGTCCCCACCCGTTTGGTCCCCATCAGAGGCCAGACTAGTCTGAGCTGTCTGGGGATGTGTCTTTCCCTCTTTTGGAATGTGAGTTCAGGGAAGGCAGGACCTAATGCTCTTAGACCTACTTTTGCTGCAGTGTCATCTAGCCCACAAATCTACAGTAAATACAGAACTAGCATCTTTGCCTCTGCCTGTCTCTGTTTCCAAACACCTCTTTATGTCTTCAAGTACTTTGGTCTCTTTGGCACATACTTGGGTTGCTATATCCTCTCAGTCCACCAGGTTTTTTCATAGCTGTAGTGGGCAGTTCCATGCACATTGCAGATATTCCCTGTTCACTCCAGTGGTTCTCAAAGTGTGGTTCCTGGACCAACAGCATTAGCATCACCAGGAACTTGTTAGAGATGCAAATATTTGGACTCCACCTCAGACTTACTGAATCAGAAACTCTGGGTTTGGGGCCTGAAGGTCTATGGTTAACAAATCCTTCAAGTAATTCCAATGCAGCTAGTGTGTGAGGATTACTGGTCTAGCTCACACAAGACATCTCTCCCTCCTTTTCTGCCTCAGATTGTTAGGGGCAGAAATAGAATATTGGAAATAAATTATAATTATAAGAAATATTAATCATGCTCTGAAAACCAAGATGGTTCTGTTCTGATTACAAAGCACATTTTCACTTGGCTGCGATGGAAGCTAACATTGACATGCAGTCCATTCTCCTTCTGAGAACTGCCTGTCATTAAGGAAAGATTTACAACCTGATGGCTGAGACAATCTAGTCCTAGAGGCACCTGCTCTTGACAACCCCCAGCCCTATTGCCTGTAATCTGGTCCCAGGATTCCTAAGGCACTTACCCGCTGTGACTCCCCCCAGCCCAGCCCCAGGCTGTATGGCTTGTATCCTGTAATGATTATCCTGTGGCTACTTTCCCATTCCTCTAATTCCCACTTTCCCATGTAACCTTTGTCCTTCAACCCAATATAAGCAGCTGGCTTAATGGTGGAGTGCAGGGCAGATTTTTGTTGATAACCTGCTGCTCCCCTGTAATGCCAGCATCATTGGAGTAAACACTGATATATGATTCAACCTGGTCTCTGCTTAATTGGCTGAAGTATTATAGAAACTGGCAGCCTGGACCCCTTGATTGTCCGGTTACAGGATTGGGATGGTTCTCAGTACTAACCCTTCCCCACAAAGGGACAATCATCACCCAAAGTGGTAAGAATGGGTGGATAAATGCCCAGACTCTCTGAATTTTGCAGGTGGGAGGAAGGGGGAAACAGTCTATGTTCTACACGGTTCCTTAATGTTCCCCAGAAGAATGGACCCCTAGTTGCCCAGAAAGGTAACTTGCTTTTCTTCTTTCTCTGTTTCACTCTGTTTCCTCCCTTACCCATTTCCTGGGTCTACCCTCCCCCCAACCCCTGCCCCGCCAAATAAACCAGTTCCACTGAATTCTAATCCCACTCTTGGCATTATCTCCGGGTGTTTCCCTCTGTCTCCCCTCATCTTCACCACTTCTGTAGCATCCCTAGAACTGTCCTTTTTCTGAGTGTCTACAAACCCGTATCCACTGTGCTGGGCAGAGCATGATGAACTTTGCTAGTGATTTGGAAAGATGGGCCCTTGAGCTGAGTTTATTTAGCTCAATACACATAAGTGGAAAGAGTCTAAAGTCTGTTTTGGAACCTTCAGCAAAGCTAGGGCTGACAAAATGAGTGACCCTGTCCCCAAGAAGGTTGTTTTATTCCTCCCCTCAGATGAGGGTTCCCACAGGTGCTTTATGACCATCCAGGTTCCACCAGGCTAGGGCCATGGCCATTGGCCAAGGCTGTGTTCCATTCAGACCAGCGCTCTCAAAAGATCAGGTCCTCCTTGTTACCATAACCAAGTCTCCAGGTCAGGCTTGTAGACTACTTCCCACATGCCTCTTCCTGCAACACCATCACCATGAGACACATGGGACACCCCAAATTACTCTGCCCTATCCTCTCACAGCATCAGGATAAGCAGACACCATTTCTGCTGAGTTATGTGTTGGTACAATTCCAATAGGTCTGCTGGGGCCGTGGATGTGAGTGGAGAGGGGAACTCAATGGATAGACTTCTCTGGGTCAACCTAGCAAGATCCTGCCTCTGCCCCACTTCCTATCTCCTTCTCCTTCCATGGGATATCTGGTTAATGTACCTTTTTTTATTTGTTTTTTGTTAATCCTCACCTGGAGATATTTTTTCCAGTGCTTTTCAGAGAGAGAGAGTAGAAGGGAAGGAGGGAGTGGGAGATGAAAGAGAAAGAGAGAAAGAGAGAGAGAGATTTGAGAGACACATTGACTGGTTGCCTCCTTTGTGTGTTGCCATCAAGGGCTGGGAGCAAACCTGCAACCGAGGTACATGCCCTTGGCCAGGAATTGAATCTAGGACCCTTATATGTATAGGCCAACACTCTAACCACTGAGCACACTGGCCAGGACTAGCTCCAAGTCCAGAGAGTCTTGAAGTCAGCTTTTCCCTTTGCAGCCAGCCCAAGGAGTCTTGGGGAGGAGCACTCCCTCCTGTGGCCTGAAAGGTCAGTCCTGTTACTGGGAAGGGTCCAGGTAAGGAAGCTCCACTTGTGGAAAGGACATCAGAGGAGGTGGTGCTGAGACAGGGGACAAGTTTGGGCGCCAGGGACTCTAGGATGGAAGGCCACATTCAATGCTCTGAATGAGAACTGGACACACACATGTACACATACCCATCCTCACAGCTGAGTTGGCCCATCTCAGGCCCCCACTATGTCTCTTTGACTTTCTCCATGTCTTTGTCTTTATGTCTTTGTCATTGCTCCTTGAATATGTCTGTCTTTCTATCTCTCTGTCTTTCTCTCTATCCTCCTAATCGAAGTCTGCCCATATTTTCTGTCTCTGTCTCTATCTCTGTATCTCTGCCTGTATCCAGGATTCTTGCTCCTAAGCAACGCCCCTGCGACTCCTTGGGAGGCGGGGCGGGGATGCGCCTTTGGAAAAGGGAGGGCAGCCTACGCCTTTAAGCTCGGGCGCGCGCCAAGCCTGCGCCTTTAAGCGCGGGCGCGCGCGCGGCCCTGGGTTCCTGGCGTGGAGGCCGCGGGAGCACCCGGCCGGCCTGCCTTCCCAGCCCCCGCCCCGGCCCCCGCCCCGGCCCCGGCGGGGGAGGGGTCTCTGAGCACGGCCCCTCCCCTGCGCCCCTCCGGTGCCGCGGTGCCCTCACCCTTCGTGCCCCCGGCTGTTCGCCCCACCCCGGCCCCCGGGGCTTCCTGGCCGGCCCCTCCCCCACCGCCGCCGACCCCTTCCCTCCTGGCCAGCCTCTGCTACACACTGGGAAGCAAGCTGGTAGCCTGCACCGCAGACCCAGAGCCTGCAGCCCGACATCGGGGGGGCCTGCACTCCGAGATTGGATCCAGGGATCTGGAAACAGGGACCCCAAGACTGGAGTCTGAACACCAATATCTGGGGCTGGAATCTCAATATCAGTCGCTGAGAACCCAATATTTGGAACCCGAGCCCCAAGACTTGGATTATGGATCCCAACATTTGGAGCCTGAACCTCAAGATTTGGAATCTAAAACCCCCAATCTGGAGCTAAACTGACTTCTGTGTCTGAGACTTTGAAATCTGGGATGGGATTCCTGTGTCTATTCCCCCAGAATCCACTACTTGGGACCCGAACCCTGAGATTTAGGCCTCAAATTCCAAGATCTGTACCCTGGCATTCCAAGGGGCCTAAACCTGAGTTCTGGCCTGAAGTCCTTGCTGCAAACCTGAATGCTGAAATCTGGGACTAGAGACCTCCAAAACTTGACTTAGCAACTCAATAACTGAACCCAGCACCCCAGTTCCAGACCCCAGGACTGGACTTAGGGCTTAGACCCTAAACTCTCCATTTGGCTGTTTTGCATCCCAAGTCTAGAGCTGGGTGACCCTGACTCTGAACAACCTAAAGCGGTGCCTGAGTCTCTAAAACTGGACCCTAGCTGCCCAATATTTGTCTAGAGACTCCATGACCACATATATAAGCTGAAACACGAGGATAGTCCCTCTACAGAGGCCTTGGGGACAGGAAGGAGCGACTAAGCACCCCCTCCAGAGTCCTGATCTTTGACCCCCTGGGAGCCTGAAGACTCTGCTCCCTGGGACGTCTCCAACTCAGGTAAGGCAATTGGGAGGGAGTTTCTCAGTGACTCCCATCATGGGAAGGGACTAGAGAGGAACTTTGTGGTTGGGGGTGAATGTAGGTAAGGACCATGTAACCCTGGGAATCCTCAGGGTTTCTCCCAGAAATAGACCCCCATCCATGGATCTACCTCCAGTTCCTCTGCCTCAGACACTCTCTGGACATTTGGCCAGTCCTTCCCCTCTCTGATCTCCTCTTCCCCACGTGATGGCATCTCTAGGTCTGAGACCCACTCCCAGTAGATCTTCTAACTTCTTCCCACCATGTATCTGACCATCTCCAACCACCTCTCCGATCCACAGCCCCTGTCTCTTTTCTCTCTGACCATCTTTGACACTTCTGTCCACTGCTCCTATCTCTGGCCACTTCTGGCCACCACTCATCTCAGTAACCATCTCTGTCCACCTCTTCTGTCTTTGATCGTCCACAGCCCTGTCCACAGCTTCTCTCTCTGGCCACCTCTATCTATTGCTTCACTCAGTGACCACCTTTGATATCTTTGCTGCTCTCTAGTCATCTTTCATTGGCTCTCCTGCCCTTCTCCAGCCCTGACTTTCAGCTGTGGCCTTTGACTGTCTGACCACTTTTGACATCTCTGTCTACGACTCTTCTCTCCAGCTGCTTCTGTCTGTCTATTCTCCCACTTCCTCTGTCCACATTTCCTCTCTCTGCCCATCTTTCATCATCACTCTTGCCCTCCTCCCACTCCTGACCCTAATTGCCAGTTGACAACCATCTGACCATCTCTAGCCTTTACTGACTGACTACCTCTCTTCTCTGTTCTGTGATCATTTCTAATATCCCTGGCTGCCTTCCCTCTATCTGATGACCTCTCCACACCCATCGCCCAGCTATCCTCTACTCCTGACCACTTTTCTGGCTTTTGACCATTTCTAACCATCTTTTACCATTTCTCCCAGATCTGACCACCCCCTGACCACTTCCTCTCTCTTTGTCCACCACTTGTCTTCTTGATTATCTCTAACCATCTTTCTTCTCTGGTCATTTTCAACTACTTCTGACCACCTATTCTCTCTTTGGCCACCTTTGACCATCTCTTGGTGACTATGTCTAAAGCCCTCTTGCTTATCTTCTAATCACCACCACCCTGACCAACCCTCCCATTCTATCACCACTCTGGCCATTTTTAATCACCTCCCTGCCTTCTGACCATCTTTGTTAATTTCTGCTCCCTCTGTCCTCCCATGACACATCTGAGTCTTTGACCATCTTTTCCAGCTTTTTTTTTTTTTTTTTAATATATTTTATTGATTTTTTACAGAGAGAAAGGGAGTGAGATAGAGAGCTAGAAATGTCGATGAGAGAGAAACATCAACCAGCTGCCTCTTGCCCATCCCCTACCAGGGATGTGCCCGTAACCAATGTACATGCCCTTGACCAGAATCAAACCTGGGACCTTTCAGTCCGCAGACCGACGCTCTACCACTGAGCCAAACTGGTTTCAGCTTTTCCAGCTTTTTGATGTGTCTGACCCTTCCTCTGACCATCATTAACCAACTCTTATGCTCTTAGCTCATTGTTACCTTCTCTCCTGGTCTTGGACCATCCCAACACCCTCTGGTAGCCCTCTTCTGACCTCAGCCTGCCCTAATGCCTCCCTTCTTCCCTGCAGGCCAACCCTGCCCGAGATGGCCATCCTCCCGCTGTTCCTTTGCCTGCTGCCGCTGGCCCCTGCCTCATCTCCACCCCAGCTAGCGACATCCAGTCTGTGTCCCCGTCGCTGCCGCTGCCAGACACAGTCACTGCCCCTGAGTGTGCTGTGCCCAGGGGCAGGCCTCCTGTTTGTACCACCCTCGCTGGACCGCAGGGCAGCCGAGTTGCGCCTAGCGGACAACTTCATCGCGGCTGTGCGCCGCCGTGATCTGGCCAACATGACGGGCCTGCTGCATCTGAGCTTGTCACGTAATACCATCCGCCATGTGGCAGCTGGTGCCTTTGCTGACCTTCGCGCCCTGCGTGCCCTGCATCTAGATGGTAACCGGCTGACCTCACTGGGCGAGGGTCAACTGCGTGGCCTGGTCAATTTGCGCCATCTCATCCTGAGCAACAACCAGCTGGCAGCCCTGGCAGCTGGCGCCCTGGACGACTGTGCCGAGACACTTGAAGACCTCGACCTCTCCTACAACAACCTGGAACAGCTGCCCTGGGAGGCTTTGGGCCGCCTGGGCAACGTCAATACATTGGGCCTCGACCACAACCTGCTGGCTTCTGTGCCTGCTGGCGCCTTTTCCCGCCTGCACAAGTTGGCACGGCTGGATATGACCTCCAACCGCCTGACCACCATCCCACCTGACCCGCTCTTCTCCCGCCTGCCACTGCTAGCCAGGCCCCGGGGGTCACCTGCCTCTGCCCTGGTGCTGGCCTTCGGTGGGAACCCCCTGCACTGCAACTGCGAGCTGGTGTGGCTGCGGCGGCTGGCGAGGGAGGATGACCTTGAAGCCTGCGCCTCCCCGCCGGCTCTGGGTGGCCGCTACTTCTGGGCTGTGGGTGAGGAGGAGTTTGTGTGCGAGCCCCCTGTGGTAACTCACCGCTCACCACCCCTGGCAGTGCCTGCTGGTCGGCCAGCTGCCCTGCGCTGTCGGGCTGTGGGGGACCCTGAGCCCCATGTGCGCTGGGTATCACCCCAGGGCCGGCTGCTAGGCAACTCGAGCCGTGCTCGCGCCTTCCCGAATGGGACGCTGGAGCTGCTGATCACTGAGCCGAGTGATGGAGGCATCTTCACCTGCATTGCGGCCAACGCAGCTGGCGAGGCCACGGCTGCTGTTGAGTTAACTGTGGGTCCCCCACCACCCCCTCAGCTAGCCAACAGCACCAGCTGTGACCCCCTGCGGGACGGGGATCCTGATGTCCTCACCCCACCTTCTGCTGCCTCTGCCTCTGCCTCCGCCAAGGCAGCAGACACTGGGCCCCCTGCTGACCGTGGTGTCCAGGTGACAGAGCACGGGGCCACGGCTGCTCTCGTCCAGTGGCCAGACCAGCGGCCTGTCCCAGGCATTCGCATGTACCAGATCCAGTACAACAGCTCAGCCGACGACATCCTCGTGTACAGGTGCAGTGCCCAGGCAGGGGGCAGCTTGGGTGGGGGAGTGAAATGGAGGGAGGGTTAGAGATACGTCTACTGGTACCCAGGCTGCAACACAGCTGAGAAATGAGGCTGCAAACTTACAAAGGAAATCAGATAGCAAAGGTAAAAGAAATCAGACAGAGAGAGTAAAAAGGAATCTGGCAGCAGTGTTAAAAAGAAATAAGGCAGCAAAAGTAAATAGTAACAAACATATAAAGGAAATTAGGCAGCAAAAGTAAAAAGTGACCAGGCCAAAAGAATAAAGAGTCGAAGGAGAAAGGCAAATTTGGGGAGATACAAGCAATTTTAAGTAGTAAAGGAAAAGAGAGACCAGGTATTTCCAGGTGACAGGGCTAAATACAAGATAGGCTGCAGGAAGAAAAAGAGATCAAGCAAGAAAATGTAGTTATCGTGGGGAAAACGGAATGAGTCAGCCCTGCTGCAAAGGTTTCAGACCAGGGGTTAAAGGAAAATGGGAAGGAAGTTAAACAGAGTTCACTTTGGGTTTGTGCAGTGCAAACTGCTCCACATATTTGGAGTTCTTATATGCAACATCTCAATTTTTTATTTTCTAAACCAAATTAAACCTAGTTTAAGTTCCACCTGCTAGGCGAGCAGGAATGTTCAGTTTGCCACTGTTGGGGATTCCCTTCTCTCTTCAGTTATTGCAAACACAAAACTTGGGGCTTAAATACTCCACGAGATGGGCCAGCATAACTTCTGCCCCTGCGCTGGAGAGTACATGGCACATCTGCTGAGGCCACATGTGTTCTTTAGTCTTGGCTCTGGCGTGAGTGCTTCTGACACCTCTGACCCAGTCCAGCCTTGCATGGAGAGCTGTGGAAGGCTCCCTGTTCTCACTGCCAGGCTGAGTCAGTGGTGCAGTCCCACCTCCTGGCTGCGGAGAACTGGGCCTCCTAAGACTTGGGGTCTGCACCTTGTATCCTACCATGTGGGTCCTGTTTCCCTCCTCGGGGACCCCAAGAGATAATCACTTGATCTTCTTTTCAGTCTTGGAAATCTAATAAGCTCATTCCACTCTCTTTCATAGGCAGAGTGCCCAGTAGATTCCATGGAGGGTCCACCTGAAAATCACACAAATTCTGTCCGCTGTGCCTGGCAGGGGATGGGACGAATGCTGTCCTAGATAGTCACCCTCTCAGAGACAATCGCAGAGTTTCCTGTAGCTCCCTCATTAAAGCAATTTAAGAATAAAACTGATCATAAAACAAGTTAAATCTCCAACAGAGTGCTCTGCTACAAAAAGTAGTATAGTGGAATTGGGTGTTAGAGAAACTAAGCAACAGAGATAAAAGGAGTCAGTAGGCAGAGATGGAAAGAAATAAGGCAACAGAAAAAAAATCAGCAGTGGTGACTGAGGCACATCAGTTTAATGAAAATGGTATCAGATGACAGGACTCACTGCAAAGCAGGTTATAGATAGAATAAGGCAGTGGGACTAGGAAGGTGTTCATTCAAAGGTTAGAAGGAAATTGGCTTAGTGATATGGAGCAATCAGGTGGTTAGATGAGAAAGAACCTAACTGTACACTAGAGGCAAAGAGAAATAGGCACGGGCTGGAGGGAATCAGAAGTTAGAGGGAAACTGAGAGGTAAAATAAGAGGGAAAGTGGATATGGGGTTAGAAGGAAATGGGAATTCGGTTAGAGGGAGGTCAGAGAAGGTGAGGATGCAATTGGGTGGTGAACTAGAGATTGCTGGCTGTAGTCTAGAAGAAGCTTAGGTGGTAAGCTGGTGGGAAGTTGGGTGAAGGAACTCAGGCAGTGAGCTGGGGAGACTAGGGTGGGAGGACCAGAGTGAAAGCAAGTGGTGGAGTGGAGCAAAATTGGGCAGCAAAGTTAGAGGGAACTGTAGTTGCAGGCTGGTGGGAAATTGGGCTGGCAGTGCAGGATGGGAGTCAGGCAGCTGGGGATAAAGTGAAACAGGACTGGGAGAACTCAAGCAGTGGACCACGGAGAAATGGGTAGTGGGCTAGAGTGGAATTAGGCAGCAGAGCAGAGGGGAAGTGGTCAATGGCACTGGAGGGAATTTGAGCTTATGGGGGGCGGGGATCAAACTGGGGGATGTGAGAGGAATGTGACAGTAAAGTTAGATGGTGGGCTGAGGTAAAATTGGCTAACAGACTGGATGCATATCAGTTAGGCCACTGACTGGGTGTCAGACTAAAGGAATTCCAGCAGTGGTTAGAGGGAATTCAGAGGTTAGAGTGAATGCAGCAGCTGGACTGGGGAGAAATTCTCTAGACTGGAGGGTAGGGATGAAGTGCAGAGTGGGTGCTGGTAGCTGGAGACTTGACCCCTGCCTGCCTGTCCCTCCAGGATGATCTCAGCCGACAGCCGGTCCTTCCTGTTGACAGACCTGGCGACGGGCCGCACCTACGATCTGTGCGTGCTAGCGGTGTACGAGGACAGCACCACGGGGCTGACGGCCACACGGCCTGTTGGCTGTGCTCGCTTCTCCACAGAGCCCTCACTGCAGCCCTGCGGGGTCCCGCACGCACCCTTCCTGGGCGGCACCATGATCATCGCGCTGGGTGGTGTCATCGTGGCCTCAGTGCTGGTCTTCATCTTCGTTCTGCTCATGCGCTACAAGGTGCACGGTGGCCAGCCCCCCGGCAAGGCCAAGGCACCTGCACCCGTCAGCAGCGTTTGCTCCCAGACCAACGGCACCACACAGGCCCCGTCTGCTCCCGAGCCCTCCGCACTGAGGGCCCACACCATGGTCCAGCTGGACTGTGAGCCCTGGGGGCCCAGTCACGAACCCACAGGACCCTAACCTCGTGCCCACCAAGGGGTGGCAGGACCTAAGCACCCTGTGGGACCTGGCCTCAGACTCGCCAAATTGTTCATGGTTTTTAAAACTGATGGGGAGGGTGTCAGGGGCACTGAGGGGCACAACAAGAAAGTCCTATTTTTCTAAGCTTGGGCCTGGGCCCTTGCCCTTGTCTCTGTCTGTGGGAGTTGGGATTACCATGCAGGGTCTGGAGCTGGGGATGCCTCTTCTGGGGAGAGATCCATCTAGTTCTGTCCAAGGTCCCTGGATGTGGCTGAGGACCCATTCCTTAAGCGTCGTCTGTGAGCACGCCCTGTGATGGGTGATGCTGTGGTGCCTCTGACAGCCCCAGCTATGCCTTCAGGGAAGGTCATGAGGGAATCCTGGGAGACTGTGGGAGCCCAGAAAAGGTGCCTGACTCAGCCTAGGAAGGGCTTCGGGGAAGAGACATGGGACCTGAGAATTATCTCTGGAGGAGATAATTGGCCAAGAGCAGAGGAAAGGGTGTTCCAGGCAGAGGGCACAGTACAACTAAGGACTTTGTAAGTGCCAGACATTGGGGTACTGTGATAGAGGAGAGGTAGGAGGGGTGAGCAGGGTCCAAGCTTTCCAGGTGGCCAGATAGTATTGGGAAGCCATGGGAGGCTTAATGCAGAGGAGGACAGCATCAGGTTTGGGCTGTAGGAATATCCTAGCTACCATGGGGAAGGTGGACCAGAGGAGAAGACTGAAGTAAGGAGCCCAGATGGAAGCCAGGTTAAGGACTAGTATAAGTAAGGACAAGACTGGACCAGGGCAGGAGGGCTGGGAAAGCAGTTAAGGTTGGATGAGAATGACACTTAGGAGGCTGAGTGGCTGAGTTATGGAGCTGAAGAACCATGGGGGAAGGAAGTGTCCAGGATGAAGCCCAGGGCCCTGGCCAGGGAGGGGACAGCGGAGCTGCTATGATACTGGACCAGGGAGAAGGCGCAGATTTGGGGAAGATACCAAAGCTATTGTGGGACTTGGTGGATATGGAATACCCAGAGAGCATCCAGAGGGAGATAGTCAGGGGTCCTCGGCCTCTGGGAGTTTTCATGTCTAAGGGACAAAGAAAAGCCTAGACTAAAAAAGACTAAACGAGCAGCAGGTGGCAGGACATAGTGAAGCAAACTGGGCAAGTCAGATCCAAGTTATTCTTGTGTTTAATGATATCAAGGCTGCTGTGAGAGTAGTGTTAGGGGTTTAGTTGGACAGATGTCAGACTCCACTGATTTGAAAGTAGGAGGTAAGAAAGTGTAGAGAGGGAGTGTAGACCTGCCATTCTGTGAGCCTAGATCCTGGTTCAGGTTGATCTGGATCTTTCTGCATATCTCTCCAGCGCTGGTCCTCACTGTCTTGAACTGCCCTAGGCTCCCCTCATATACCAAGAGGTTCGGAGGACCAAACCCTGGCCTTGGAAATATCAGGTCTCATAGGAGATCCAGGAATGGGATTAGCAGTAAGAGGAATAGTGCTCCTTGATCTCAGGCTACCTCTAGTGGTGGGTGCAGAGGCAGAGATGTGGAGAGAACTTGGGTCCTATCAGTATTCTCGGGAGTGATGCTGATGTGAGGAGCAGGGTGAAGTGGGCCCAAGACCCGACTGGCTGTTCTCATGATGTAGGGCACCACAGCTTTGTCGGTGGGTGTAGGCCTTGGAAATGGCCTTCCTTGGCCGTGGAACACCTGAATCCCAGGGATCTGGCCTGACTCCCAAGTCCTCCAGCAGCATCATTAGGTCCTTCCTCTTGTTATCCTTAGGGGGGCTGAGGTCAGGAGCAGCCATCAGGGACAGTGAGATATCTTGAGAAAAAGGCCTACGGAGGAGCAGGTTTGGATACCTAGAGCCAGTTGCTGCCATGAGGGGGAGCCAGAGTGCACTGTTCCTCAACCCTGTTTTTAAGTTATTGTGTGCCTACTTGTGCTACATGCTGGGGATACAGGCCTGTCCTGCCCTCATTTACCTCACCATTTGATGGGGAAACAAATGTTAAGTAATCACAAAAGCAGGTGTAAGCATCGGTGATGACAAGTGGGGTCATGCAGGAGAGATCCATGCAACTGAGAGACCTGACCCAGGAAGGGAGTTTGAGGGAGGTTTCCTGGAAGAAATGATGCCTCAGCTGATCTGGTTGGAGCTAACTACACAGCGGGTGGAAAGGGCATTCCAAGCTAATGGAACAGCAGGTACAGAAGTCCGGGAGCTAAGGGATGCATGTGCTGGAGTATGGTGGGGAGAAGGAAGTGATGCAGTGTTGAGACAGGAGAGTAAGAAGGGGACAGATGATGCAGGCTACTGGGAGAGTCTGGATTTTATTCTAAGTGGCATGAGAAGCCATTGGAAGGTTTTGAGCAGTGAGGAGAGTTGTCCTTTTTAATCCTAAAGAAACTCCAGTGGCAGGTCTGTTTTGCATGTGGGAACTAAAGTAAAGCAGGGAGACCAGGAAGGAGGCTAGTGTAATGGTCCAAGCAGAACATGTGGGGGCTGAGTGGATGGATTGAAGAGAGAGTTGAGACTACTTTCCCAGAAGTCTCCATCCTCTATGCAAATGAGGATAGTCTGGATCACTACCCCGCTACCTTTTCAGGCAAGATTGCTAAGACTGGGAAAGAAAGATCCATTCCTTAGATGGGGGAGCTGACCTCTCTGTAGAATAGAAATTAATGACCTTTTCCATGTTCAAGTACCAGGCAAACAGTAGATCGAGGCTCTGCAAGGCAGAGGCTGTGGCTGGTTGTGGGGGATGTGAACACAGGAAATGTGGGCCCAAAAGGGGGACACACCTGGTGGTAACTTATTGCATGACTGGAAGCAGGGAGGAGGAAAGGAGGTATATAGGATAGGCTGGTCCTTCCAGCATGCCCCCTCCCCCCCCGCCAGGCGCCCCCACAGGATGCCTGGACCATCTCTCACTCCCATGCAGAGACAATACAAGTGGACATGTACCTAGAATTTAAAGTTAAAACATAGCTTGTCCAACACTGCCTACCTAAGTCCACCAATTTCCTGAGCTCAGGGAGTGCTACTCCTTCACTGCCCAGCCCCATGTGGCTTTGAAAATGCCTGCACATTTTTGAGACCAGCTTTCTTGGTGCCAAAGTGCCACGATACTGGAAGCATTTTCTTCAAGTGACTAGTTCTGATACCAGGACTTTGTGTGCTGCCCAATCCAACCCATGTGCTGGGTGTGGCTATTCCAACACAGGTGGAGTGTCTGGGCATACTTGTGACCTCTGGCAAGGCCTCAGCTCATGCCAAGTTTTTTCAGCTCTTTACATGGACACATATGTGGGAGAATCAGAAAAAGGGGTCATCTCTTCTGGGTTGAGCATGGCTCCTGCTTTTAATCCCTTTCTGGTGCCTGTGCTGTTTCATGCCACACGAAAGCGAGAATAGGTATCAATGCTCAGTGTTGCCCTGACCTGTGTAGAGTGCTGCGGAGAATGATGTAACAGTGACTGACACACCCTCAGACCATGTCCTCACAGAGTTCCAGTCCAGTGGAGGAAATAGATATGAAAAAATGACAGACCAGAAAGGCCAGGGCTGGGATGGGGGAAGCACAGGTGAGAGTGATTGGGGCCTGTTTAAGCTCAAGGAACTTTGGAAGTCCGGATGGGCTCCTAACAGCCTGGGATGGGAGTTGGGGAGAGTCCAAGATTTCCTGAAGGCAGGGCCAGCTTCATGGCAGTGTGATCTGTGCAGGCACGCAAAGCTCCACTTTTAGAAGGGCCTTGTGCTTGGTTGAATGACCTGCTATCACCACTGTGAACTTCTTCATGGTTTTTGATAAGGTACTCCACATTTTCATTTTGCACTGGGTCTTGCACACTTGCAGGATATACAAAGAGGGCCAGGAAAAGAAAGGGATATGCACAGAAAGCCAAGGAGAGAGAACATTGTGTGCAAAAGACAAGAAAGGAGGATAGAGGATTGTGTACTTAAAGAGCTGGCCAAAGTTCTGTGTAGCAAAGAATGGGGGAAGGGAGATGGTGACAGCTAAGCTCACAAAGTAGGCAGTCGCCAGCTGCCAGGCTGAGGGGCAGTGACTATACCAAGGGCACTGGGAGTCATGGCGAGGGACGGTGTCAGGTTCAGACTTTAGAAAGATCCATCTGGCTACAGTGGGGAGAGTGGCTGAGGACACATAGCAAACAAAGAACAAGTTTGGAGTGGGGGGCTCAGTTACCTGTGGAGGAGGTTGGGAATGTCTGGCTCCTGTGGACAGCTTTATGAAGAGCCTTGAATGCTTGAATGACAAACACCCCAAGGCACCTGGACACTGTCTGGGGAGACCACAAAACCACAGGATGAACCGATAGCTTCCTTTTCACTTGAAGGTTTTCACTGTTGAGGCTGGGAGGAGGGTACACAAGGGTAGGTTAAAGGATGTCACTGGTAAGCACTTGAAAATCTTTTTATATGAGTTCTCATGGATTGATTAATTGAGGTGAATGCAAACTTGGCAAGAAGAGTATAAAAGTGAGACTTCAAATAACTTATTCTGGGTACATTCTGGCTTTGACTCTGTGGAACTCCTAGGGTGTACTTCCCTCTTCCCAGTCCACCGGGAAAAATATCAGTTCTCTGGGAACCTCCTCCTCATCCACAGTCCTAAATGCTGTGGCCCAGGGCTAGAAACTGACTCCCTTTCTGCTTCTCCACTCACTTCTTCCTGGAGTATCACTCCTTCCCCACGTGCCTCACCGCCTTGACTTTCCTTCTTTGCTGATGACCTCTACCATCTCTGTCCCAAGAACTGGGCCCTCTCCTAACCCCTTAGGTATCTCACACCCCCTGGGACCTACGCTGGCCTTAGCTTTTCCCCAAGCTGAAAAGCCTGGAGAGGATCTTAAGCAGGGAGAAAGGAAGCTATTGTAAGAAAGTCAGTTTCTTCTTGAATTCTCTGCTACTCCCCCTCCCCAAGGAAAGGGTTCTGTGGGAAAAGGGGAACTAGAGGGTGCAGGCTCCTAGGTCCTAGGGGAGGAGGGGGCTGAAAAATATATCCAAGGTCCTTGCCGCTCCCAGTCTGGAACCAGCCTTGTCCTTCCTTCTGGATCCTCCATGAAGGTCTATTGTTCCCCAGCTCAGACTGATGTGGCAGCCATTGTCTTCCGTTGGGGAGCTCCACCCCAAATCCTCCAGACTTCCACACCTAGCAGGTTGTCTTTGCCTCTGTCTAGTCACTTCCATGACCCAGGCATTCAGGTCCCTAGTCCCCTATTCCCTCAGACACAAATCGGTCTCCATTCCCCTCCTTTCTCAGAATCAGGAGTCCTGGCTCCTTGCCCCTACCTCCCCAGGACCCCAGAACTTCCAGCCTGAAGCTTCTCCCTCTGCGGCAGGCTCAGGAGTCTGCCCCTCTTAGGAACCATGGCATTCTTGCCTTGCCCCCTTTAATATTCTAAATCATCATTTTTCTGTCTCAAACTTGGATCCCTCACCCGTCCAAAACAACCATGTCCTCCACACTCAAAGGCCCTTTGAGTGTGGAAGACAAATCTTTTTCTTATCTCTCTCTTGGACTTCATGTCTCTCCATCACTCTATTTTTTCTGTTTATTACCTTGTCTGTCCCTCTCCCCACACCCATCTCTCCATTTGGTTATAATTTTCTTGTGTTTTCTCCCTCCCCCTTTTAGTGTCTGCTCATCTCTGTCTCACCCACATAACTGTCTCTTTCCTCGCTCTGTCCCTCCCCCCCTCCTGATGGGGACATCTGTGTACAGGCCCAGGGAGTGTGCTGAGAGCCAGACCCAGGCACCTGAGACTATATGTGCCCCCACAATGTGCCTGGCCGCAGCCTGAGCAGGTGAGGCTCCCAGTCTTGCCTTTTCCCTGGACTCCAGGGTGGAGCTCTTCTCCGGTCCTGCAGTGGGAGGGCTGGAGGGCAGGCTGGCAGGAGAAACTACACTGAGGAGCTGGTATCTGCATCAGCCAGAGCTGTCCTCACACTGCCCTGCTGAGCCCTGCGTTTCCTCTGCAGTGAGCAAGCCTCATAGACACAGGCTGGGGATCCGGGCTGGGTTTGGGCTGGTTGTGCTGTCTGGGGCTGGGGCTGCCTGGCTTGGATCTGTAGCAGGGGATTGGCCACAGTGGAGCTTCTTGGGACAAGGCCCTGGCCAGCTGTGACAAGGGACTGTGTTGGCAGATTCTGGGGCAGAGGATTTAGCAAATTGGTTGTGGGAAGACCAGGCAGGTCTTTTGGGGATGAATGGTCCAAAGGAAGTGACTTTATTTTAAGCTAATATTTGTATAGTAGACATCATTCCATGCCCTTTACATACATCATATAGTCTTCCCATAGCTCTGTGAAGGGGTGCTAGCACCCCTTTTATAGATGAGACAGCTGCGGTCCAGGGAAGTTAAGTACTTTGCCCACGATCACCTGGCTAGAGAGGGCAGGGTCAGAATCAGAACCCGATGTATTGGCCTCAAAATCCACCTGATTATGCGTATTCCCTTCTCTCCTCTCCCGGTTCTCGGTTCCCTCAGGCCAACCGCTGAGTTTATGAGTTTGCAAGGCCATCACTTCATCCGGGCTGTCTTGGAGAAGGAGGCTGGAAAAAGCTTAACTTCCCAAGTGAGTCGCCGCCCCCTGACGGCGGAGCTACCTGAGCCTGCGGCCAGGGCGGCTGCAGAGCACCCACCTTGCGCTTTGGAGCCGAGGGGCTCGCGGCCGGCAGCAGGGTGCGCCTAGCTGGGTCTCGATGGGTGGGAGTGACGGCGTCGATAACGCGAGCGGGCTGGGCGTGCCTCCCTGGACCCTGCGCTGGCACACGCCGCGCCGCCTGCCGGACGGTAGCTACACGGTGGTGACACCGTCGTGGCAGCCCATGACTGGCACAGGAGTTTGCCTGCACACACGCCTGGCCTCACGCCTCCAGTGCCGGTACTGCTGGACTGCGTCCAACACGCTGCCCGCAGCCGCTCCTCGTGCGTCCTGGGCTCCCAGGTGCTGCCGGCGCAGAGAGCACATTTGCCAGGCACGCGCGGATGGCTGGCCACAGTTGTTTGCAAGCGGGAGGCCAGGCCAAATGATTGCTGCCACAGGGTTGCTGGAGCTACGCCTACACGGTGCCCAGTCCGTGCCTGCCGGTCGTCCTCATCCACAGCCAGAGACCTGTGTACGTGCCAGCCTGCGATGCGGGGAGGGGAACGGCACCAAGCGGCGCGGGCTCGGAGCCCTGGCGCCTCGCTGCGCTCTCTGGACATGGATGCATTCCTCCGCCTGGTACAAGTGCTTTGTCGACTACAGCTCAACCCGCAGGCACCGCCTGTGATCCCTTCGTCTCGCTCATGCCCTAGGTGGGCGTTCAGCCGCAGCTTCCCACGCCAAGTGCAGCCGTGCTTTCCCGACGTGGAGGTGCTGGCTCCTGTCAGCCTCGTCACTGACAGCGTTCGGACCAAAGCCGAGCCCTGGCTCAGGCCTTCTCCTGGGCAGAAGCGGCCTATGGCACCGCCATGCCCTGCCTGGAGAGGTGCAGGGCATAGGGCAGCTGATGGCAGGTGAGCAGCTCCGGGCCCAAGAGAGTGCTGAGGTGAGCAGAGAGATTCCTGGGCATCAGGGTAGGGGAACATAAAACTTTATATTCATTTGCTCATAGAGCAGCCAGAGATAGTATTTAAATGCAAGTCTTGTCCCTCCTCCATTCAAAATCTTCCCCTGCAGGCCTGGCCGGCATTGCTCAGTGGGTTAAAGCCTAGACCCATGCACAGAAGGGTCGCAGGTTCCACTCCCAGTCAAGGGCATCTACCTGAGTTACAGGTCCCATCGCCAGCCGGTGGGGGCACATGCTGGAAGCAATCAATCAATTTGTCTCTCTCACATCAATGTTTCTCTCTCCCTCTCTCTCTACTCTCTCTCCCGCTCCCTCCCTTTCTCCCTCACTTCCACTCTTTCTAAAAATCAATGGGGGGAAAATACTCAGGTAAGAATTAATGACAATAACAAAAAAACTTCCCATGAGGTGTAGGGGAGGCTGGGGGAAGGCCAAATGGGAAAAGGAAAAAAAGGAGACATATGTACTACTATTTTTAATACTTTAAAAAATAATTAAAAATAAACTTCCCATGCCATCATCCCACCTCACTCCCAGTGTAGATGTATGGTAGCCCAGAGGCCCAGTAGGTATCCTCTGTGATGGCCCCTGCCTCTGTCTTTGTGCCTGGCAGCTGTACCTACATGCTGAGCCATTGCCCTCACCAAATCCAGTGGCCTCCCTGCCTTCCAGCCGTGGGTCTCCTGCTCTAGAGGGAACTACCCCATGCAGTTTGTCACAATGTGCATTTTTGGCATCATCATCACCGCTGTCACACATGAGTTCAGTTTTGTCCAAGTATAAATCATAGTGTATGGGATCCTGGAAACTCCATCTATGTCTGTTCC